GGGGGGGGGGGGGGGGCAGATGCCTGCAAGCATGGATTCGGGGAAAGAGGAAGGGAGAAATTCACATATAGAAAGCAAACTAAAAGCAGAATAAGCCTTGCATTCAATAAAAATTAAAGCAGGGTGAATGCTACTGGATGTCCATATGAAGATGAACTCTAAACTGCAGCATTTTCTTAAAATCCCTGTCTCACGACACCGGGTCAAGAAGGATGCTAAACTCAAGTCTTGCCTAGCAATATAAAATATTAATTTCATGCTGCTATGGCAGTAGTGCTGTAGCACGGTACCTACACACTGATAGACGAGCTCTTTGAAGAGCCTGCACAGAAAAAGATATTGTTATAGCTTGCTTGCTTAAAAGGAAAGCAGCAGTGAATTCCTCTCCTCTGAGGTTTTCAGCTCACTCGTTATTTACGGGACATTCCCCAAACAGTATTAGGTTTCAGGTGAAGAGTGTAAAACCAGATTGACAACCTATTTTTAAATTCCAGCACTGGGTCTGTTCCAATGTTACTACTAAAAACTGCAGCAGCTTGTCCCATGCTTGTGGCAGTAACACATTTTAAAGTTAACAGAGTGGGCAGTGAAGTAGAACAGATCCAGGATTATGCTGGTTTTGCCACAAGCTGTTTGTTTTAGCAGTTCCTTCAAAAAGCATTTCAAAGATTTAACATAAATTTCATCTTCATGAGAAAAATCTAAACAGTCAAAGTAATGCCTGTTCAGAAACCAGCCTGTTGGGGAGCATGGCTGATTTTAAAACCAGAAGACTGTTTCATTTCAAATAAATGGTTTGGATTTATTTTGCCAAAATGTACAGCTACCATCTTCATGCTTCTAAAACATGCAAACCTTAAGTTCTGTTCATACTGCAGGGCAAGTTGTGCTAGCAACAGCCATTTAAACATGGACTGGGCTCAAGTTTGTTCTAATGCAGACTAAAAGAAATCTGAAATAACTGAACTAACTTCAGTGGAGTTGTATGGATGCAAGACTGCCTGGGTGCATCTACATATGCAATTAGTGCAACACAAAAAACATCTGTGCACACCTGGAAGTGAAGCACACTGAGCAATGGCAGAGCAGCCCAGGCTGGTAGGGGACCCTGAGGATCAGCCTGCCAGCTCTGGGGTACCCCAACCTGGCTCAACATGCTGCAGAGGGGCTACCTGGGGCATGAAGGTAGTTCAGTACAAAGCCAGCCGAAGCACCTTCATGCCCCAACCAGTCCTGTCAGCATCTATACGTGCCATACAGTGCACTGAACAACACTGAAGGATAGCACTTGTGTTTAAAAGTACTAACCTATAGTGGAGTTAATTTACTGCACCCTAATAGGACTGTATGTGTAGACACTGTGACTTTACTACAGAGTTAATTAGGCAATTGCGCAGTAAACGTCTTGTGTAGATGCGCCCAGCGATATGCAAATCTGATGGGCAAATCAGTTTTTTTCTCCAAGAGAGAGACAGTTTTACATTTTTGGACCTGCACTGTAAACATAAGAGTTAGCCCAGGACAAATCACATACCATGGCACAACATGGTAAAGAGTCATCACCGTAAAAAGGTCTCTGTCCAACCTGGTCAAGGTGGAGATTCAATTATGTAAGGGAGAGGGTATCAGTAAACTGGAAATGTACCCACACAAGAAAACACTGTGCTTTAACATCATCAGAGCGTGCCCTACCTACATGGCATTCAGGGGCCTACTGCATCCTAATGTGACCCCTCCATATGTAAATATATATTGTCAATATTTACATTTCAACTGGAAACCAAAAATAGGGCATACTCTGAAAATGGTCATGGAGCAGCAGTTGTAACTATGACACACATTGAGAATGCGTTCTCACTTCTTGTGAGGGTTAGTTGGGACTTTGGTTCTTCGAACACATCTAAAACCAGGTACAGATTAAGCACCCAAGTACAGGTGAGCTCTTAAAGTACAGTGACCACCTGGTACTCTGATGCAGGCAGAACCACAATGAATTAGCATGCACTGCTTAAACTTCACCATCCTAGAGGACAGCTGACAAGATACTAGCTGCCACTTAATTTTATCAAAGTCATATTAGGAGCCTTCCATATCACTAACTGTAGCAGACAGTCGCAACTGAGATGCGTTCCTTGGATGACTAAATGTTGCAGCTCAAATGCATGCCAGGCAGTGCTATTTAAAAATAAATAAATACATACATAAATAAATAATCTGCCAACGTATATGTGGAAACTAAAAGGAAAATTTATTTGCTCACACAGCTAAAATGTTTCAATCTCCAATTCTCCAAAGCAGGTAGCTGAAAAATCAGTTTGCGGCTGCCAAGCTGTGTGCGCTTTTTCTTCCCCCCCAAAATTTGTGCGAAATGCCAAAGGCCTGTAATGTAACCATGCCTTCTCTATATTAGTGAATGTCACTGCAGTTTTTTGAACATGAGACATGCTATGTAAGGGCTATGTACTAACAGACATAGCTGGATATGAAATGTACAACTGCTCTCTAAGGCAAAACCTGGAGGAGGTCTCATACAGCATGGTGCAGCAACAACTATGACGTCTCATGGATAACAATTACCTCTGTTTAAAGCAGAATCTTAGACCAAACCATAGCCTGAGAAATCACCAATAACAGAAGGCAGGCAGGCCATGACAGTGCCTGAGAATTAACATTTTTTGTGCTCAATACTCAGACCATGACTTGCCTGCCAAGAAGCTCTAATAAGGTAATTTATCCAAACCCTGTTTCCCCAGAAGATGGTAGCTTTGAAATAAGTCCTCAAGAAAGAGAATGCTTTCAAAAGAAAAAAAAGGGGAAAAAAACCCAAACCTCCACCTCAAGATTTATCACTGACTCAAAATGAATGAGCTCTTGGCCTAGTGATCCCACAATAGGACTGGAAGCAAAACCTGAGGTCTATTCCTGTCTCTGCTGTTTAAAACCTCTGTTCTCAGCCCCTTGAATATAAAAATAGCATAATTCTTACCCATCTCACAGGGAGGATTGTTTTTTTTGGGGGGTGGGTGGGGTGTTGTTTGTTTAAGGAATAGTTAATTTCTGGAGTGGTCTCAGATCCTCAGACATACGGTATAAAAGATGCACAAGGTATGATTACACATATACTAGAAATGCAGTTGAACTAAACAGATTAGCCAAACACCTCAGTTGAAGAACTGAACAGAACTATGTGCTCTACGGTGTGGTACAAAACCAGAGAAAGAACATATAATTAACACCTACCATTACGTACATGTTACATATTAAAGCTATGACCAAAAAGGAATGTGCTACGTGTAAGTTAGCAACCTTTCATGGGGTGCAGCTATTAGCATTTCTAACAGTAGGCAATTAGGCACTCACTATAAAAAAAAACAAACACAAAGATGGGCTCTGGAATCCTCCAAGACAAGTTATGTTTTGCTGAAATGCCTATTTGTCAATATCGTTCACAAAAGATTTAACCTTGTAGACGAGAAGATGTCAGGAAAAAAAAAGTCCCACTGCAATTAAGGAGGGATAATTGCTTCCTCAAAATCTGGTGATTTACAGATAGTATGCTACAGCCTTGGGCTTGCAAGTTCTCGCAAGATGCACAAACCTGCTGCAATCCAGCTCAATGGGCAGCTGTGCAAAAGCTCAAGGAAGCAGAAATGTCAGGTGAAGCCCAGCCCCCTGCACTGAACGGAAGCAAGCTCTAGGCCTTATCTACATTGACGAAATTTGCACTGGAGTGACTACAGTGCTAATCTCTAATGTAAATATGCTGTGTCAGCACAAAAAAATCTATTAATACAGTTTAGTTCAGTAAGTTACTGGCCAAGATGCAGTGGTGCAAACCCTGCGACTCCATTTCAGTTCTCTGCCTGCATAACCTACATTTAGTTAGTAACATGGACGCAACTTTCCTCAACGTAGGAAAGCCCAACCACTTCTATACAACTCTTATTGCACTCAAACAGCATAGGATGACAGCAAAAAATACAGGCCACAGAGAAGACAGGAGCATAAGCTTGACTCCCATTATGCTAAAGCAGTGCCTAAATGCACTGCTCTCAGGGTCTTCTATAGTATGGTGGCCAAGCTGCAGTACTCACTAATATAGGACAGTGATTTCCTCAAAAAGTCTGTCCTGCCTGTGCTGAATTTATTTGCACTTTTACCCCTCACTTGCTCAGTGCTATATTAAGTATTTTATGAAATCTGACCTGCAGCTTTAAAATGAAAGAAATCAAATAATGCAAAAACATGCTGACATGCACTGAACACACAGACAACACATGGCTCATGTCTCTGGCCCCCATTTTATTTATTATTTGCAGGGTATCCCCAAAAGAAGCAAAAATAATGAGAACTGTTATTCTGTTTCCTGCCAAACTGATCCAGTGCTCCAACTTCACCATAATATGCCACTCCTCTCAGGAAGGGACACTTACAAGGACACTATTTTGCTGGGGCTGCTCTCTGCACGTCTAAGTGAATTAAAGTCTTCTGCAGTCATTTTAGTTTACCACTGCAAAAGGACTCCTGCAAACGGTACATCTTCAACAGAACCTTTGCTGTTGCTAAATGCGTATAGCAGATAATCAGCAATAAATACCACCGCTTCTCACCACCCTTTTCCCCAACGTTATAATTCATCGCACATACCCCAAACCAAAAATGAATACCCCTCCTGGCATGAAAAAATATCCAGTTTTAATCATTTCAGTAATTTGTACTATAATGAATGGACCCTGTATTGTAACAAAGGATTCTCTGTTTCTGAGCACCAGACAAGCCCACAGCTCATGCATCACCAATTAATGTGCTGTCTAAAGCTAACTAATACTGCATAGGCTTCTCCAAGCAAACATGCAAGGTGAACTCTGCACCATAAACACCGAGTTCATTAGCTAACAGGTTAAAATTACCTTGGTTTCTGTGTCACTTCCCTTAATCATAAGGCCAATGTTCAGCGTTAAATTCCAACAGCAGTGAGCTTTTCTCAGGAACTGCTTCAGATAAGTACTCTGCCCTGAGTAGAGTATGGGCAGACAGAAGGTGAAGCTATCTTTACCCTCCAGAAATTCTGGAAGAACATTTATTCTTTGTTTCATTCTTCTTTTGCAAATAATACCCAAGCACAGCACATACAGCACTCAAATGCACCAATACACCAGTAATGGGAGACTTGAAACAAAAATGGATTTAGAAACCGACTGCTGAAGTCCATCAAGAGGCCAATCAATAAAAAATGCATTGCAAAGCTGAGGAGCCTTTTTTCTGTCTGTTAGATTCTCTTCATTCTTCAAATTATTCTGAAGATGTAAGCGTTCTCAATACCATCTGCACTGCACACTTCACTCTGCATCAGGCTTTTATTTGCAGTAAAAAGTATTTGAACAGCATCTGTGATTGCCCTTGCCCTACCCTGAAAAAAACCCTTACAGAATGATTTCTTCACTGCGGATAAGAAACTAAAGTAACATAACTCACTTAAGCCATGTCATACAGTTTACCAGAAAATATAGAAATATGCACAATATAAAAACTCTCTTCCCCCCACCCATTTTCAAACAATACCAGAAATAACCCAGAAAATGTTCTCTTCACTGCTTAGGCTGCTGCCTACCTGATGCACCAATTGGAGAGGTAGCTGGGGTCATACTATGGACATTTAGACCAAGATTGTGGGATGGACCCGGGGCTGGCGCAGCTACAGGTGGTCCTGGTGGGTTCTCTCTTTGTGGGGACGTAAGTGGAGTGGTGGGCTGGGAAGATGGCCCACCTGCAAGCCGAGCAAGGCGCCTTCGACGAATCTGCACAAAGGAAATTAAAAACACTCTGTTACAAGACACTTAATGAACTCCCTTTCAAAACAACATGGATATAACCTCTGCTGGATGGCAATACTAGCATCCTTGATATGAAGGGAAACTAACATTATGTAAGAATACCAATATGCAATTTCCTCGTCTTTCATGACCATTTTTTTTTTTTTTTTTAAGTTTCCAGGGCATACTTTACTACCTTTGAAGACCATCTTTACAAGACAATTTGTCTATCCCACTCACAGGACAAACACAAATTTCACTTTTTGCTGCAGAGTAGTTTCAAAAAACTTGCAACACTTCCCTTCATTTTAGCATTTGATGCAATAAACCACATTCCTCCAAAAAAGACATCAGCATAAACTTTACCCCAAGTTCATAACATCCAGGACTATGAGAAATGTTTGCATTTTAAAAGTGTTTCATTAAAAGTTTTTTTTAAAGAGGAGTGTGTTACCCCATAGGGTCTGTAACCAAAACACTCCAGCCAGTAAGTCTCTACAAGGGAGACAGCTGCTGTCTTAACACCTGGCTAGGAAAGCAAATAAAGCAATGAAGTGTCTTGTCAGAGTCTGGGAGCAGAGAGCAAACACAAAGGAGGAAAATAAGGTTTTTTTAAATAGTACCACTCAAGCTGTTAATAACACCACAGATGAAAGCAAACACATTTCTTCAATATCTCACTTAAATTTCTAGCATCCTTTCTGAATTACTAAAATTTAGTACCACAACAGACAGATTGTTCGTTTATTCTCCATGTATCAAGCCAAAGGGAATACAAACTGAAAGACCTATTTTATAAACCAGCAAACTCAAAGAACAGATTTAAAATCAGAAGCAAGTAATGGACCAAAAACCCTAACGATACAATTATTTACTATCAAGGATCACCAAAAAAAAAAACAACCCCCCCCCCCC